AATCCTAAAACAATTTGCTTATGTGCATAAGATACTTGAAATGTTCTCCATGCTTGACTGTAAACCTATTTCCTTACCACTTTCCAACCATTTTAAATTATCTATTGAACAATCACCAAAGATTGATGAAGAATTTAAAAGAATGGAAAGAATTCCTTATGCTAACACTGAAGGATCTGTTGTGTATATCATGATATGTACTAGGCCAGATTTAGCTCATGGAATAAGCATATTAAGTCGATTTATGTCAAATCCCGGTGAACTACATTGGCTTGCCATGAAATGCATGTTGAAATATCTGAAAGGAACATCTAATTTGGGCCTATTGTTTAAAAGGTGTGATGATGGCGTAATTCTTAAGGGATATACTGATTCAGACTTTGCTGGTCATTTAGATAAAAGAAGATCAACTTCATCTTATGTTTTCACTTTGTGTGATAGTTGCATTAGTTGGGAATTACAATTGCAAAAGTTAGTGGCTTTATAATCAACAGAGGCAGAATATATAGCTGCCTGTGATGCTGTTAAAGAAAGTCTTTGGTTGAGAGGTCTTTTGAATGAAATTGGTTTTATAAATAGCTCTATCAAAATTTATACTGATAATCAAAGTGTCATCCATCTTAGTAAAAATCCAATGTATTAAGATCGCACAAAACATGTTGATGTGAAATTCCATTTTGTTAGAAATATGGTTGAACAAGGTCTAATTAAGTTAGAAAAAATTTGAACTGAATATAATCCTTCTGATTTGGGAACTAAAGTCCTATCCTTAAACAAGTTTAAAAACTGTTTGAATACTCTAAACATTGTTTGAAGGGGACCATGTTTAGAAGTTTCTAACATTTTTTGTTTTGAACTAATTTCTGATTTTTTGTTTTACAGGATAATAAGAGCAAATGAAACAAGTAGTGATCTAGCCACTAGAAATTGCCAAGACGTGTTCAACAAGGTGGAGATTGTTGAGCCCAAAATAATAGTGCCTCCTTTTCTTGGCCCTTTAAAGCTATTGGGCCGAGTTTATTGAAATGGTCTTGATCCAATTGCTAAGAGAAATATGTTCTCTTGAAATGTGACTTCTACCTCTTTTAAAGATATAATCTAGCTCTACATCTAGCCATCTCCTCACCGTTGATCAATGACCCTTGACTTACCTGATTAAAACGTTTGGACGCCTCATTCTTCCTGCTACAGAGATCGATTCTGAGTGAATTCTAGGGTTTCTCTTTTTCTCTCAAACCATCGATTTTCTGAGTGAAAATGATTTCTGTAAATCTGAGTGATTTTTGATACTACACTTGATGTATAATTGTGATAGTGGTGGTGTTGTGATAGTTGTGTGTGAGGCGAGATAAAAAATAGTGAAGACACTTTGTGTTTCTCAGTACATTTGTAATGTTCTTGGTTTTTTTTTTCTATTGGATCTAGAGCTATATCTACTTAGTAGATGCTCAACGTCGTGAGTAGGCCATAAGGCTGAACATCCGAGTCTTTGTGGCGAAAAAATCCTTTGTGTTCATTTTTATTTTTATGCAACTTCAATTTTTCAGTGATTCTTGTGATAATTTGTATTCCATAAACCTCCTAAAAATTAACACGACCCTTATTTGTGCAATTTGCTCTTTTATAGGTTTGACACTTTTCACGTGAATTTTCCAATGTGTTTGTGATGATGACTTTAGTATAGCACCTTTAATCTCATCTTTGAAAATTTTTCATTACTTGGGAGAAGAAAAGAACAATGTGTAGATGCATTATGTCATTTAAAAGGAGGACTATTATATCCACACAAAATATACAAAGCTTTGGGATTCATTTCTAATGCATCATGTTTATGTTAGCTTTGTTATCATACATTTCTCTCTGATATCATCAATATCAAGCTCAAGATTGTTTCAAAAAATATTTAAACTATGTTGAATGTTCAAGCCACGATGTATCATCTACCTTAAAAAATTCGAGCTAATATTCGTCTATTATTGACGAAATTGTTTAATCATCTATACATCATATTATTAGGAATATTTGCTCATCGTGACTTGCATATGGAATATAATCAAGTATGACTGAGAAATATTTTGCATTTTAAACTTTCTTGATAATTGAACCTGTCAATTTACTTGCCAACATATGTATTACTTTACTGGGGGGAATTTGGCATTTACAAGAGAGAAGCCTTCCACCTTGGGCAAACTAGTTTATGATGCCATCCTCACCTTTTAAATTTTAAGACGGAGATATCAAATCCTTGAGCATGCCAAATGTGCACTTGCATTATTGGATTGAATTCAACAACCATTATTATCATTTACGAATAGAGGCTATTGTTCTCAACATAAAGTTTCTCATCATCTTCTCGAAATTTTAAGATGTTTTTGGCGAGTCTTTTCACAATAACGATGATCCTCCTTAGCACTTGTTTCCATTGTTCTCTTTTTCATTGATCACCAATTGTATGCTTCCAGCAATTGTATTTTTTCTTCAAAGTTTGTTTTCAATTTCAATCCAGTCAGTCATGCAATGTATATTCTCCTCATTTGCTCTATGAATTTTAAGACACCAATGTAGATTATGCCAATTTTTGTATCCATCATTATCCAATTGACCATTTCTATTCAGAATTCTTGATGTCTTAAACAACATGCAACAAAAGAAAAGGACTATGCCTTAAGAAATTGAGTATTCTAGAAATCTTCTATCAATTGTTAGATCATTTCGTACTAACCACTTATATTGTAATGAATTGAAATATCTACTAATACTATCTTCAGAAATAAGATTCCATGAACTCTTTTTGGATCCATTTCAACTAAATAATTCCTTGTTTTTTTATCAATGGCTTTCCAATTTTTCGGGATCCTCAAAATTCATAGAAAATCAACCCTCTTGATTTAAGTCTTTATTTTGAACATCATCTTCCTCATTCTTCCCCTCTTTTATCTTAGTGCAACTGAAGTACTTATCAATAACTCCTACTTGACTTTGAATTAATGCCACTTCCTTTCATTTCTTTTCTTTTTTGACCTTAAACCACTAGTGTTTGAAGATACAATACCACTATTGTTCAATGATTAGCCTACAACAACAAAAACAATAATATCTCACAATTAAAGTTTTCAACATAGATCATTATGTGCACGCTTGCAAAATGATCCAACATATATCATCATGTGTTCATGTACAATTGAGGCAACATACATCACTATGGTCAAATATTGAGTTTCTAGGCAAAAGTCGAGTATGTTGGGAAAATATAGAGTTTGATATGAAAATCTCGAGTTTGCTCATCTATTTAACTTCAAACATGCTTAATTTTTTATCCATAACTTCAAGATTGAAAGTAAGAATTAAGTGACAATTTCCACATTTCCACATTAAGTGGGCTGGGGGCCTTTAGGCGGCATAGCCTAGGGCAGACGACGATGGCAATCAGACTCCAGTAGACTGCTTCTTCGGACATAAATCTTCAGTGAATCACTCTTCTTGAGAGAGAGAGAGAGAGAGAGAGAGAGAGAGAGAGAGAGAGGCGAGCAGATTTTTGGAATTTTGAAGACATATTGATTGAATTCTAAAAGATCCTTTCAAATTATTGGGCTGCATGTCAAGTATTTTGGGTGGATAATTGAATCTTTAAAATGGGATCAAAATGTTAACTGGGTTAATAATAAAAAATTGTCCAAAATATATGGACCGTTTTGATGTTGGGCCTGAGCCTTTGATGTCCAGAGTTGACCGTTACGAATACAAAAGTTGAATTGTCGACATCTTAGATACCTTAAGTGAGGCAGCTCTTAATTGCAAGATCGAGATCACACGTAGATTGCTTCTTGCGAAGACATAATACAAGAATTATTAAAATTAATCACGTAGTGATTAGTTGAGTTTGTTGAGGTATTTAATATGGTTTATTGTCTCTTTAATAATAGTTGGTAAACTAATCAAAACAGAAAAAGTATGAGCACCTTTTTGTTTTATAGTAAATATTATATACATATGTGATAACCCTCCGTTTGATCCTTGTTAATTGATTATATCAATTACATGATTGGCGTTAACTTAAACTTATTTTTAAAAGTAAAATTTGTTATATTAATTTTCTTCCGTATTTACAAATTTATTTATTCATTTATAAGAAAATTTGTGTATAACTAATTTCTTTTAAGATTAGCCAAACATAAACCTAACTGAAGCTTAATTAGATTGAATTGAAATATAGGTTGATGGAAGGCAGATATCAAGATATGCTTCAATCAGAAATTAGAATCACTAGTTATTGTTGGGAATAAAATAACACGTATTATTAAAGAAAAATTGAAGAATATAACATAGTTCTAAGAAAGTAATTTCTTGCAAGTGAAGGTTTGTATAATTCTTTTTGAACAATACTATGCTGCACCAGTTTAAGCGACGATGAACACAAAATTCATTGTTTTACAAAGTCGAGAAACATTTTGATTCATAGAGCAATGAACCAGTGAAGTATACTATCATGTAGTTAGATGATGATACGTGACATTTCTCTTTTAGAAAATCCTTTCTATGTTGACTTTTTCCCTCGATCCTCCTTTTTCCTCTTCTTTTCTTGAAAGAAAATTACAAAATTTGGAGATCATTTGAAGAAAAGGGAAGATGAGTTGAGTTAAAATTAAACTATATTTTTTTGTGTAAAAGAGCACCAAAAATTTGATTGGACAATCAAGAAAAATTCTAAAACATGGAGAAATCGATTGGCTTATCAAATTATCTGTCGAGCACTTAAAAGATTCAACAAAATGGAGTTCTTCGAAAATCAACTATTATCAAGTTTTATAACCAAAGTTGAAATCCTTGAAAATTGTGAATAAATCAAAATATAGCTACAAAACATGCACTAAATTTTTAATAGAAAAAACTTGATTTATTAGATTAGGCCAAATCTCTCTCCACCCCCACTCACATGCACACATAGTGTGTTGTTGCTTTAGTGCAGAAGAAAATATATGAACATAGGTAAAAAACATAAATTGAAAAAGAAACAAAAGCCAGGTAGATGGCTCCATTGAAATTAAAATGTATGTACAAACAAGACTTGGCTATGAATGGGATGTTGGGTAAGGATTAAGGAAGAAACAAAAAGTTAAAATCTTATTATTACACCATAAGGTCGAATCTAGTACTGCGTACCAAATATACATACAAAACAAATTGTTATACCTTATTCCGACCAAAGATGAGAGGCATCCCTTTACTTTGGTTACTAATAAGATTTTGCTGCAGAGCTTGTGTATTTCTTTGAAGAAGAAGAAGAAGACGACAAATCACCTGACCTTCTCCTTAGCATTTGCCTCATCCCATCTGCAACTCGAATGGCTGGATTCGACTTATATTTACGACAAAATGACATGTGAGCTTTAACAGCTTCTTCCATTACAAATTCTTTATTCCCTCTATTAATTTCATCTCTTACAGCTTCTGAACACAAACCACAGAGCCATTTACCATCAAATTTTGCCTTCACATCACTTATATAATCCTGTGTGCAATCTTCTTTCAATCCACAACACTCACACTTTACCATTTCAACGTCCATTTCTCTCTTAATTTCCTGCTCCAGACTATAGAAAATTTATGGGTTTTTTATTTTTTTGCCATAAATTGGGACTTGGGAGAGAAAATAGTATAGGAGGGAGAGGAAAAGGAGAAGACTTATAGTAGGGAACACTGCCATAATTTGCTCCATGTTCTGAGGGACACTGGGCAATGGATTATGAAAAGATGTGTGCAGGGCCCCCACTAATGTGTGGACCATTTTGGCAATTAAATTTTTTACCTTTCTAGGGGAAATTTTTAATGGCTGATTGACGGTTACTTTACTTTCGGTTGACACGGTTTAACGCTTTTATATGCATTTTTCGACTCCATGCATGTTTTGACCCGTTAATTTTGGATTCTTGTAGATTAACCGCTGCATACTGGGTCAGAATAAAGCTTATTGTACATTCCACATTATACATGAAGTTTGACATCATTTGAAAATTCAAAATGTTGTTGACGGGAACGTGTGTAATTTTTAAAAACTGTCTAATCATGCTACGACATGTGGCACAATGTCAAATTTGATATCAAATAAAATGTACAAGAAGCATGATTGATTGGGTCAATATCATGAAAATCACAGCCACACTAGGTGGATTTTCTTGTTTGAAAAATGATAATATTTGTAATTAATTATTTTTTGGTAACATATAAGTTGTTTTGTATTAGACCAATATCTTATGTAGTAAATACATGGATATCCCTAGAAAAATTAAGTGCCAAATGTGATTTGATAGAGCATGACTAATGACACATCCGTCGAACACCGATTAAGAATACAAGCATAGCTGTTGCTCAAGTATTGATATATTTCTATTTAAAGAAAAGTCGAGACCGCAAAAATACCTCGATAGAATTTCTAACTTGATGACTAAGTCAAGGGTTAGATCCACCAACAAAATCCCTCATCTTTCACTTGCTTTCAAGTCTTATTGCTCTTTATTTTCTCAAGTCTTTTATGAGTAAAAAACTATAACCTTGTGACCCTTTACTACTAGTAAATAAAGAGTGAAATCAGACTAAGTTACATAGATATATATTTGGAGATCATTACATTGTCCTTATTTTATTTAACTAAAAATTCAAAATTTGAGTAGATTTTGATAAAAATTAAAGAAATTTGTGTTTGAAAAGTTAATAAATGGTGTAAGTCCCATAAAATATATGATCAAAAACGAATTTGAGAAAAATGATTTTTAAAAAATGGGAACCAATTTGGGATTTTCTGTACAGGCCATTTATTGAACATTAAATTCATTGTTTTCAACAGATGGGGTTGCGCAAAATATGAACATCCATCCATGCCCATAGTTTTCAAACGTAACAAATGCCCGGTTTATGGCACACAGATGTATGAACATGCTACATTTGTCTGCATTAGGAATGCTTTTAAAGAACTCCACTGACACGCTTGATTTTGTTTGACGGGACTTGGGAAAATAAAAAATTATTTTTGAGATAATTGCTTTTGAATATATTTAAATAATTTTTTGAATGTTCTATACTTGGCTAGAATTGCTTTGGAGAAAGCTTATCTAATATATATTTCTCAATAAGCACTTTTACAAGAAGTAGAAGCAAAATTAGAAAATCATGTTAAATAAACCCTTAGTATAACAATTTTAAAAAATTAAAGAAGAAAAATATTCTATAATTATGTGTTATCCTGTTAAAAGCCTCCATTAGCATTGATTGTAAGGGTATATCCACATCGTTTAAATGCAATAATAATAATAATAATAATTTGAATTATTCATTTTAATTATGTTACAATTTTTAAAATAGAACCTTAACATGTTTGGATTACCTCTTCCATTAATAGTTAAATCAATTACAGTAGAATCATATCAAGTGCGGCACCCTTTAGAAAATTTGTTACAATTATTACTTGCATCATTAAATCATAATTAAGCCTAAACTGCAAAATACAGTATCACTATATCTTAAATTTGTCCTGAGACAGACGTTCTAAATAATTCACATTTTTATATTGATTTTTTTTCCTGAAAAACATTATACACTCATTCACAAACTACGAATGACTGCACCTCTTCCATTTTTTTTTTCCATTTTTTTTGGTCAAAAATATCTTCAACTAGAAATCAAGAATACAGTTATTTGTTAAAATAATAAACTTTTCCTTGAGTTCATTGTTTTTCACCCCTCCTACTGTATCAATTTTTCTCTATAAGTCGGAAATCATAACATAAAAAAAGGCAATAAGAATATATATGAATTAATTTTCTGTCTGTAAATTACAAAAACAATAAGAATAGAGCTACACATGCAAAAAAATATTGCACAGAACTTGGTCAAACAACACACAACATGGTGAGGGTGGGTGATTTTTTGGCATTCTTTTATCACCCACTTGGGACCTACGATGTGAGTAATCTGGTAAACTTCTGTACAATCATTTTCATACAAAAGGCGTAAGGCAAACAATAACTCCATCTGAAGAGTCTCAAAGAAATGAGACATATAATCTTCTAAAACTATTCAAACCTTCCTAATCTTTTCTTCCCTCTTACGTAATATTGATAACCTTCTAACACCATATATTTTGTGAAATTCAATTATTAATCATGACATTCTCAGTTTTTCCATATTGAAGTACTATTATGGTTGGTCTAGGCAATGTCCTAATGATACAAGGTTACTTTCACTTGTGCACGTTGACTTGATTGGGCGTGACTTATTGGCCAAACTTAATTATTAGATCAATGTTAGTACATTTTATGCTAGTAATCAACAAAAGAAGAAAGGGTGTCACTTTCACAAATAAAATTAGTATAGTTTATTTATGAAATATCCATGTGAAATGTTTTAAATGGTGTGTTTGTCCCGATTAAACATATATGAGTTGGGGAAATGAATGACTGATGAAGTCCTTTTAAATTCACACGTATGCCTATGTTCGGTGTACATTTATAAACTGTTCTTAAATATTTAAGTCATTTTTTATCTATCGACGAATTTAAAAGTATTATTCACTTATCCGTTACTTATTTTTATTTATTTATAATTTAAATTGATTATAAATACTTCCCAAACATGCTCATGTAAGTCTTGAAATATAACACAATTTAACTGTACTTTCGAAAAAAAAAAACACAATTTAACTATAAATTAAATTGACTTTAAGTTAGATTACTTCTATCAGAAAAACAAGTAACAAAAGCTTGACAAGTAGCTCATTAAAATTTGTAGCTTGAAGGGGGTGGCATTGAATAATAGACATGTCTAGTAACAAACTCTCTTGTAGCTAGTCCACAACAATTGAATATTTTGGAACAGAAATTTGTTTCTTGTAAGCTTCCCATTGTATTTCAAATTGGTGGACATGAACTTAATAATTTGTGCAAATTAAGGACATTGGACCCACCATTGAAGATGAAAAAGAAGTATTAATCTAGGCCTCTTGCTACAAAAGCAACTCACTGCATAATTTGCAATCTTTTCTTCGTAATTCTTTTTCTTTTCTTGTTTTGCATTGCAATCAATGGCGAACTCACCATAAAATACATATACAAAATTAATTGTTCGACAAAGATATGTAGGATGGTATGATTTGAGCAAGAAGTCAATTGCATTTCTTAAGAATCGATCATGAAATTTTGAATGCTTCGTATGTTGTTGTCGATTTTATCTCGCAGGAAGATAAATTTTTAACAAGTAATATAATGATGAGAATGTTATCATCCAACGAAAATTTATTACTGTTTGTACTTCAATTGCCATTAACTCAAAAGAGAAACACACTATTAAGATTGTAGTTTTTAAGATCAATTTTTTTCTAATTAACTTTTAACTAAGCCACTGTTTGATAGAAATTAAAATTAAATTTTTTGTCAAAGTCAAGTTAGGGAAATACTTCTTGTACATAACTATTTATGTAATGTTTTATATAATGATGAGGTGTCAAAATGTAAGTGGAGAAATTATTTGATTGATGAGATTTCAATCTAATTAAATTTCGCCACATCATGTGTTAGTAAATCGTTATGTAAATTGTATAATTGTGATTGTATGCTATATGTGACTCCTTATGAGGTTAAAATAAGAACTGGTGGTGTAGTTGCACCAGATATGTGAAATTCGTGACATTGTGGTGCACCCGGTGCTTGTATGTTGTCGATTATCGATATGCTTATTCTTTATAAATTTAAATTACATGAGTATATGCTTAAATTGTGATATGTTTTGATATAACGTGAGAATGAGTCTATTGAGTGTTTTTATTAAATACTCAACCTCCCTACCTAACAATTTTAGATTAATGCAGTCGATAGCGGCGCGAAGGAGAGCAGTAGTGCTGATGTGAACCCCAAAATTATTATTTGACTCATATTATGTTCGAACCAATATTTAAATTTTTGGATATTTTAATACTGAGGTTTTGAATGTTTAAAGACCGACTTGTTTGATGGAAATTTGTTCAATGTGGATAGGATACATTTATTGTGGTTCATCTAGTTGTTTTGAGTTTGCAAAGCTAGTATTTACAAATTTTCAGCTTCTGTCCCTATGTTTAAAAATTCAAAATGACCAAAATTTTTGAAATTTTGAGGTGATTCAAGTTGGAGAAGGTAGCCATATGAGTTATCTATCTCTCAGATTTGGAATCACATATTTTGAGTGTCTAAAACTCAAGTTATTGATCTTTTTCCAATGGCTGCTAAAGTTAGAACAAATAGGTCCGACCCATCTATCGATTGAATTTTTATATGAAAGTTTAACATGTAATTATCCAAGGTGTAATATGCTTACAATTCATTTTTAAAAAAAATTTGGACTTCGTTTGATTGCTAAATCAAATTTTTTTAAGAGAGATGTCCGAATGTAAAAAATCCCAATTTTACAAAAGTAAAATTTCTTCAATTTTGCAATTGGTCCCCGAAGTTTTAGAGCTTGGACCTTGCTGTTTGTACAGGGAGGGTTTGACATCCTTTTTGACAGAACAGACTCATAAGGGGAGGCGAAGCAATTTTTTATTATTATTTTTTCACTCGGGTCCCATGCGAATGTGAGAATCTGTCAAGAAGGTGATAAACCATTTTTTTGTACAAATGGCATTTTCCTTAGAGCTTTGGTCCAAGTTATTTTTCACACTTTTATGAACCATATATGTATGGTTACGCTGGTTC